TCTGGACAGTCGATGCATTTACCAGAGCAGCAAAACCTAAGTACTTGTTAATGTAGTGTGTGTGTGTGGGGGGGGGGGGGGGGGCATGGAAATGAGCACATTATTAACAACAAGGAAAGAAGAAACAAGTCTGTCCAAGCTACATAATAGACCATGAAGAATCAGACTGCGCGATAAGTTCACACAAAACTGGCAGAGAGTGCTGCAACACTCAACAGCCAGACACCTAGCCCAAACACATCTCAAACGTGCAAGCCAAGAGTCCTTCAGCCGGGACGGCTCATAGTTGTGTTGGCGATAAGATTAACAGGGAAAGATAGGCGCAACAACCTCACAACTTCCATGAAGGTTGGGCGCCGCAGAAGATTGGAAATAAGAGCAAGGCTGTTGAATGTCATCATACTCTCTGTCAGCTTATATAGTGCAAAAATACTGCACAGCAGATGGATCCACACTACCTGTACACTACATGTATATCCTAGCTTCAATAAACAATGAGCGTGGACAACATATACACTGGTGCAACTCGGTAGGCTGCTTTAGTGCTGCTGCATTACGCATCGCTTACTACTTTTCGTAGTTAGAGCACTCTGGCGCTAGAGCAACGAGTTATCTTAATGCCTGTGGCGCCACCTTTGCATCATAGCCGGTAGCTCCGCGTACTTTAAGCTTGTAGCTGTACTGCTGAGGCCTAGATGGCCGCAACAGCTAGCTGTCTACAGCATTGGGTACCAGTACACTTCATGTACTTGAAGTGCAATCTCCACTGTCTTTGACATTGTGATTGTACTGTACTGGACAAGGTGCCATCCTTGCATGTCCTGCATTGACTAGCGAGTAACTCAGTTGCATGGTACATCTATGTATGACTATGACTGTACTACGTACTGCTGACAGGTACATGCCCTGCCGTGCTTGTGCTAGAACCATAGATGTGCGTTGTTTGGTGTTCTATGTAGGTGTAGGTATCGCTATTCCACCAGATGGTCGCCAGATTTCCCTCCTTGTGACGACCCCTTAGAAATAATAGTTGATTAGGGTCGATTAGGTCTGCTGATGTTCTTGCCGACACATTGTGTAATGTAGCTTTCTATTCCTGGTCAGCCTGCTGTCTGTTATGTGCAAGCACCGTACTGATCCTAGCCTAAGCTCCGTAGTCCATGACATGATATAATGCATAACATATCCATGAAAGATTAGTTTTTGAGTTAGACTCTCCAGACGACGTTGTGTGAGCGAGCCAGGTCCGTAGTATTCTACTACAGCTTTTGTGGTGCCGAAACCCGGGATCTCTCGCAAAGGGTTCACAGCGTCGTACCGGCGGAGTACGCAGGAAACGCTCAAGCTCTAGCGGTGGAGCAGCAGGAACAGCGATCTACGATGGCGTCGCTGAAGGTCGACAACTTCGTTCGTGCGTATCGTGGCAAAGGGGACGACTGGGAACACTTCTGGGGGAAGTTCAGCGTCCTAGCCAAGATCCAAGGATGGGATTCTGCGGAGAAACGAATGAAGAACTTTCCACTGTTCTTGGATGGAGACGCGTTCCTGGTATTCACGCGGATGCCGGCCGACGACCAGAAGGACGAGGAGAAGGTGAAGGAGAAGATGAAAGTGTCCTTCAGCCTGACGAAGGCACAGGCGTACCGTGCATTCACGACTCGGACTCTACGAGAAGACGAGTCGACCGATGCGTACGTGGCCGATCTACAGAGGCTCGCGAGCCTGGCGGGGCACGCCGCCGACGATGATAAGGACCCATTGTTGATCGAACAGATGGTGTCCGGATTGCCAAGCGCCTTCGCGAAGGAATTACGCTTGTCCATGGCCTCGAAGGAACATTCCGTGAGCGGGTGTTTGGCAGCGATCCGAGCTCTGAGGTCAGCGCAGAGCGACTCGCGATTGCTAGCTAGAGCCTCGGAGGAAGTGGCAGCGGCGGCGAGCAGTAGCAGTAGTGGAAAGAGCCAGCCAGTTGCCAGCTCGGCTTGTTTCGAGTGCGGAAAAGTTGGGCACCTCCGCCGAAACTGCCCTTCAAGGAGCCGCGATCGGCGTGGTCGTTCTCAGCCTCGCGGGCTCACGTGCTTCTTTTGCGATAAGCCTGGCCACGTCAAGCGAAACTGCCCTGCACGTGAGCGATGGGAAGCGGCTTCGAAGGGCGGCACTGCTGCTGCAGCTGCTGGCGAGCGCGGAGCTAGCACTGACAAGTGCCTCTGCACAGTGACGAAGGCAGGACAGGGGACTCTGCCCAGGGTGTACGTCGATGTCAAGCCGCGGGACCAAAGCACGAGTGCATGGAAGAGAGCAAGGGCAGCAGTAGACACGTGCGCCACACGCTCTCTGGTGGCTGAGGCTTTCCTTACTGACCATGGCATCGAGTATGAACCCGACACTGAAGTCCAGATGAACGCCCTGAACGGCAGCGCAGTCGAGCTGCTTGGAGCCGTAGAGCTGCTGGTAGAGCGAGTAGAGGCGGGCTGCCCGGTTCATCTTCCGCGGACGCAAGTGAAAGCCTTCGTTGTCCGGAAGTTGGACGCTGTGAATGCAGACGTCCTCGTTGGCGCTGACGTGATTGCGGCTGTCGGAGGAGTTCACCTCGGGTATGGTGACGATGGTTCCCTGTCGAGTGTCCAGTTCGGCGCCCCAGAAACTGACCGTCCTGCCATCGTGGCGGCGACAGTGCCGGCCGCTCACCCTTCTCGGCACGTGACTGTGAGCAAGGACGGAGAGGATGTGGTGCTGAGAACGGACGACAGCGAGGTCCGGTGGGACAGCGCAAGCCAGCGCTGGATCGTGCGATGGATGTGGGCTGATGATGAACCGCCAACCAAACAGATCGGTTCCGGCATCGGACAGTATTCTCGGAAGCGGCTGTCGCCGGAGCAGGAAGCCAGCTTCTGTACCGAAGTCGATGCTTGGGTGGAGAACGGCTGGCTGGTAGAGCACGACCCATCCGTACACGGGGAGCCGGCAGCTATCCTGCCTCTGCTAGCCAAGGTCCAAGAACACAAAGCCTCTACCCCAGTCCGGCCGTGTCTAGATTACCGAGCACTGAACGGTGTCATCAAATCCAATCCGGGGACCGAGGCGCCCGTTTGCGCCGATAAACTGCGGAAGTGGCGCATGGCTGGCGATCAAGAGTGCAAGCTAATCGACATCAGGAAGGCCTATCTCCAGGTTCATGTAGACCCGTCGCTCGCCCGCTACCAGGTTGTCGTTTGGCGAGAAAAGCTGTACGTGATGACGAGGATGGGCTTCGGCCTGTCCGTCGCGCCCAAGGTGATGGACATCATCGTCCGCTGGGTGACCCGAGAGTGGCAGGATGTTGATAGCTACGTCGACGATGTGCTCGTTCCGGGAGCGAAAGAGCAAGCTGTGACGTCCGCTCTTCACCGCTACGGTCTGCCGACCAAGCCCGCAGAACCGCTCACCGCGGCCAGAGTTCTCGGTCTCCAACTGTCAAAGGAAAGTGACGGCACGGTCAACTGGGCTCGTAGAGGAGGTGTCAACCTTGGCTTCGAACAGCCGCTGACAAAGCGTGAGGTCTTCAAGTGGACGGGACGCCTGACTAGCCACTACCCAGTGTGCTCGTGGCTCCGCCCGGCATGTGCGTGGTTGAAGCGGCAGGCCTGCTCAGCTGATGGCTGGGATGACCCCGTGCCAGCAGCGGTCGCCAGGTGCTGCGCAGAGCTGGCCGACATGGTCCGGGAGTCAGACCCTGCAAGAGGTGCGTGGCGTGTTCCATCGCTGGATAGCGACGGCTGGACCGTGTTCTGCGACGCGTCGGACGTCGCCATTGGAGCTTCCCTGCATCACGATGGTACTACGATCGAAGACTGCTCGTGGCTGCGCGAGCCACGTGACCACAAACACATTAACATTGCCGAGCTGGACGCCGTCTTAAGGGCGCTAACACTCGCCGCGGAGTACAAGGTGGAGAAGGTGACGTTAGTGACTGACTCGAAGGCGGTTGCAGGCTGGGTGTCGCAGGTCCTCGGGAACGTCAGACGAGTCAGGGTCACTGGCCTCCACAAGCTTCTCGTTGTGCGCCGTCTGGACATCATTGAAGACCTAGTCGCAACGGCTGGCCTGAAGGTAACAGTTGGCTGGGTACCGACGAACGAGAATGTCGCTGACAGACTGACCCGTGTCCCAAAGAAGTGGCTGCAAATAGCTCGCGTTCCCGAGAGCGACGAATCTCCGGAAGTTGCCGCGTCCATGGCAATGAAGCAGCCGGCGACCGTCATTGGCTGTGACGACGTCTGTGATGCCCAGCGGAAGTGCCCGTTGATTCAGACGCTGGTCAGTGCTATCGAGAGCGACAGCGAGATTCAGCACGCCACCTACCGGAAGATTCGTGAACAGCTCGTCATCAAGGACGGCCAGCTGAGCCGCACGCTCAAGCTGCCTGCACTCGGCGTTGTCACTGTGCCGATCGTTCCGGAGTGCCTTGAGCACAGCGTTCTCGAGTCGGCCCACGTGATGTCCGGGCATGCCAGCTGGAGTGTGATTTACGACATGCTCCGCGCACGTTGCTTCTTCCCCAGCATGGCGGCTAGGTGCCGGGAGTATTGTGACCAGTGCCGACAGTGTGCAGCCGCTAGCAGCCACGCAGGACCCGCAGCGCCGCCGACGCAGCCAGACCTGCCTGGGCGGCCGTGGAGTGTCGTTCAGATCGACACACTTCACCTGGGAGAGGAGAAATCCGGTCAGTACCACTGCGTGTTGGTGTGCGTGGATGTGTTTACGAAGTGGGTCGAGGCAATCCCTCTCAGGCGGCACGATGCGACCAGTGTTGCAGAAGCGCTGACCAGCCTCTGCTGCCGTTGGGGCCCGCCAGACGAAGTCCGTATGGACAATGGCTCCGAGTTCAAGAACGCCGTTGTCCGAGCTCTCTTCGCACGGTTCGGCGTGCGTGTGAAGACAGGGGCCGTACGTCACCCGCAGTCGCAGGGAGGTGTCGAGAGGGCAAACAGGACCATCATCACGCTGATGCGGAAGGTCCTCACAGAAGCAGCAGATTGGAAAACTGAGCTGGATCTGCTGCTCTACTACTACCGCACGAGGCCACACACCACGACAGCCATACCGCCGATGCTGGCCATGTGTTCATGGCAGCCGCGCCAGCTGATCATCGAGGCTGAGGAACCAGAAGCCCTACTGAGCGAGTGGGTTGACCGAGTTGGCGAGACAGCAGCAAGGGTCCGCGACCACGTGGAGGTGGAGCTTGCTGCTACGACTCCGGAGAAGCCAATCACCAAGTTCGAGGCACCCTACACAGAGGGGCAACGTGTGATGCTGAAACAGCCTGGCCGGCGACGCAAGTTGACTCCGCCATACCAGTGCGGCTGGAAAGTGAAGAAGATCATTGCGCCGTCGACAGTAGTCATCACCAGAGATGATGGCGGGGAGAAAGTCGTGAACATCAACCTTCTCAAGCCTGACGTACGACACCCACAGAGTGCCAAGCAGGATGGTGCTCCGCGTCCAGGAGCGACGGAGCAGGCGCACACGAGCGCCGACGATGGGCGTGACGACGGTGATGGTGAGATGTGGCTTGACCAGCCGGAGCCAGCGGACGACGACGACGATCGCCCTGCACCGGCTTATGTCCTACGTGACCGTGGAACCTTGGCGCGTCCAGCTAGATACAATGGCTAGAGTCGAGTGGAGATGTCACCTAGGAGAGGGGTGTGATTGTACTGTACTGGACAAGGTGCCATCCTTGCATGTCCTGCATTGACTAGCGAGTAACTCAGTTGCATGGTACATCTATGTATGACTATGACTGTACTACGTACTGCTGACAGGTACATGCCCTGCCGTGCTTGTGCTAGAACCATAGATGTGCGTTGTTTGGTGTTCTATGTAGGTGTAGGTATCGCTATTCCACCAGATGGTCGCCAGATTTCCCTCCTTGTGACGACCCCTTAGAAATAATAGTTGATTAGGGTCGATTAGGTCTGCTGATGTTCTTGCCGACACATTGTGTAATGTAGCTTTCTATTCCTGGTCAGCCTGCTGTCTGTTATGTGCAAGCACCGTACTGATCCTAGCCTAAGCTCCGTAGTCCATGACATGATATAATGCATAACATATCCATGAAAGATTAGTTTTTGAGTTAGACTCTCCAGACGACGTTGTGTGAGCGAGCCAGGTCCGTAGTATTCTACTACAACATGCACTGCATCACTTTCTCTACACTTACTCATGATTGATACGAGCGACTTTGAAGAAACGTGTGCTTCCGAGCCTGTAACAGAATAGCCAGGAACAGATATAAAGAATGGCCAGAACCAGATATAAAGAATCAAGAATGGCGCTGAGACAAACCTCAGGCACACGGCCTGGTAACTTTTCGCCAGATGGGTGCACCGAAAGAAAATATTCTAGGAGAAAGAAAGAAAAACCAACAAAACCAGAAGCAATGAATCGCATGTGCATTGTACAGGTGCAGCAACTGCAATCTGATCTCATGAAGTAAATAGTACCATGTTCAATGCACAGCTCGATATTTAGTTTGTGGGCCACACAGCCGTTCGGTCCCCGAGGCCAGACTCCAGTTATGGTCAATGAAGAATGATTGCTGGCTGAGTATGAAGGTCTGGGGCTTTTGTTACAATGAGAATCTCAGGAGCCAATACAAGCATACATCAGGATTGATTAAAAGGTGCAAAAATCTTGTCGGTGCTTTGTTTTCGCTCCCTTGTATCTCTCGTAATTTGAGCAATTTATTTCTATTTCACACCCCCAAGCTAGGAGGGGCATAAGCCGTAAGGTATCCAGTAAGAACACCGTACGCCACTCAGCACTGCGTACTGCACTTCAACTTCAGGTCATAAAACCTGAAGTGAGAGTACATGCACATGAAGTATAATAGTAATACTGGGTGAACATAGTACATGTACCTAAGAAGAGGGGCTATAACAAATCATGGTGATATGATATTATTGGCACATGACTCGTTTGCGTCTGCAAATGCAGATAGATTCCAATACACAGTCATTTTTTCAGACGTTTCCCATTTTCAACTCCCTCAAAGCAAATGAGTTTCCAGTATTTTCAATTGTGCTACTACTATTAATTTTGTTCATCAACACGAGATACAAACAAAGTGAAAATAAGAACATAGTTTCAAAACAGGAGTCCTACTTACGATTTGAAATTTTTGGTTTCAAAAATGGGTGGCAGCTCGTTCAATGCGGTACCAATGTCAACAATTTGTCCCGGTGTGGCGTTCACTAAAAGGTTACCCATGGCCAAAATCAGGTCTTCTGATGCGATCCGCCACAGCTACAAGCCCATGAAGTCCACTCCAGCTATAGATTTATCCTTGCTAGTGGCTATTTTGTGCGTAACTCTGAGGCTACATTCTTCGAGGAGAACTTATCCTTCGTATCCAGAATTTTAGCAGTGATTCGTTGGAGCTGACAAGCATTTCTGGAAGATTCACGAGTCACTCTTGTTTATCCACACCAGAACTAACTCACTGAACTAATAGTAATAGTTGGCAGAAGTGTATTTCAGTTTTTTGAGACTTTCCAATTATTTCCTGGACATGACGTTTTGTAATGACGTCGCGATGATCTCAACTGTACTGACCATGATGACTGTGCATATGTGAGTGCATAGTGACTGAGTCTGTACTCATGGTACTGTAGCTGTGCCTAGTACACTGCCTACTGCCTAGCTTCACCACGTGACCTCGTTTACTGTGATTTTTTATTTTTTTATCAGGTGATGCCGCTACTACTGGGTAGACATAGCCCGATTTTGCTAGCAATTCTGCTGGCAAAATATCGAAGAATTTTGACGAGAGAATTTGCTGGCAAAACGGAGCAAAATATCGGTATGTTCGCTGGAAATTGAGAGATTTTACACTTATATTGTTTTTTTTTGTTTTTTTTTACACTTATACGGTGCATGCGACTCATTTTCGTACATTTTTGCCAACACGTGACTCATTTTTTCTCTTTTTTCCAACACGTGACCCACTTTTGGTCAGTTTTCCTACACGTGACCCAAATTTGGCCTTGCATTCGAGCAAAAAGGGAGCAAAATATCGAGTGACCTGGCAAAATGAAAGCAAAATATCGACGACGAGTGAGCAAAATGTTGCGGCAAAATATCGAAGTTTCCCTGGCAAAATCGGGCTTTGCCTACTACTGGGCGCTTAGCTAGCATGCGACGCCGACGATTCACGCACGCGCGGGGTCCCGGATATCCCGACGCCGGGCATGACATCATTCCCAATGCATGTCTTTCATGGCATTCCGGGTGACGTCATGACCTCTTCGAACAAAGCTCAGCATCCGATGACTCAGAATCAACTGTATGAAGAAGTGGTGACTTGCTCGTTCTTTATCTCCCTTCGAAAAGACAAGGCAGGCGAAAAGCCCTTTGACACATGTAACTCAGCTGAAAAGGATATGCGTGTTTGAGACAGATTCACTGCGACTAATCATTGATAGAAGAACAGACCAGGGTGGAAAGCTGAAGTTCTTAGCCTATTACTTCTTGTTGTGAAGTTACCGTCGAAATGTCGTCTGAAAAGACTGTGAAGTCCTTCAAACAGAGGCGATCTGAAGGTGAACAATGATTTCAGTTTCTCGTTCCTGATTTTGACTGTACCCCTGTGTCTTGTAGAAACTCAAGTTATTGTACATTTCTCTTTTTGTTCTTCAGCCAGTCGCAAGGAGGAAGTATTGGGCATTAGGTCGAAGTTCCCAACGAAAATCCCTGTAAGTGGGTGAAAAGCTTTGAATGTATCTCGGCGTGGAATGCTATTGTTACATGACTTGTTATCTTCCTGGTGCCAGACTTGGTTTTGCGTGCTGGACTACCATTGACGTGTACACCTGTACTGTGTGCCACCTACTGCTGGCTATGCTTCTCGCACTTACCCGCCTAGGTCATCGTCGAGCGTTACAGCAAGGAAAGTGATCTCCCTCTTCTGGATAAGACCAAGTTCCTCGTTCCGCAGGAGTTGACTATGAGCCAATTCGTAACGATCATCAGGTTAGTGTTGTGCTGAGTGAAGCTATTGACTATTGTGCCCTGCTACGTACAGTTCTGCACTGGAGTATTCATTTCCAGTTTGTATTGATTGTAATTGTAGTTTAAATATCCTAATATAGTGCGTATCTGCAAGGGTGCATAAACAAGAGTATGCAACTGTGGTTATGGGTCAGTGCGCGGCGCGCTGCCTTCATTGTGTGTTACTTGCCTTCATCATGCTCTGAAAGCATGCACTCAAACCCGCGATTTCTCGTACGAGCCCATCTGCTTTTGCTCGATTCGTTCCTGTACCTACGCGATCTCTAAATTTCGGCGCGTGAACTCCAGTTCCATACGAAAGTTCATTTCAAACCAGAGGGAAAGTGCGGTGTTTGATTTTCCGCAGTGCGCGGACTGCAGCTGAATGATGTAATGAAGGCAGCGCGCCGCGCATCTGGCCCATAGAAAAGAGATCACAGTTGCATACTCTTGTTTATGGACTCGGGGTATCTGGTATAGCGTGGGTGTTCGAAAAACGACTTTTATTCTCATTTCCCATATTCTTACACACGATACTACCGTAAAGTACCGTTGATCCGCCCCCTCTCTAATTCCCGCCCCCTGTCGATTTTCTACCTGTGAAGCGACTTCGGCGTATACAACGAAAATACGATGTTGAACCGACGCATGCACTGCTGTACACAATATTTGCCAATCCAGGATGAAAATGTGCACAATCCAGCACATCTAGTCTGAACTTCTACGTTGTTGTACATCGTCCTGCACTTGACAGCCTTGATCTAATTCCCGCCCCCTGCCGAAAACCCAGCTGGGAAGCGACATGGCGTGGGGGGGCGGATCAACGGTGCTTTACGGTAGTAGTAAATCAAGTATGACATACATTGTTTCATAATTATGCATATGCGCAGAGGCAGGAAAATCATCGTACATACAACGTAGTGCTATTGTTCATGCAGCTGTTCATAGTCCCATAGTCATAGGCTTACCATGTATATGTGGCTATGCAACATCAGTAACATGACCACAACAGTTGCACTTGCAGCACTACGACGCAACACGAGTCGTATCAGAACTGCATTGGACAGATGTTATTGCTACAGGCGATACACTTTGTACTACAGTCCATTTCAAAACTATAGACGCGTAGTGTTTTGCAAAATTCGATGGGATTTATTTAAAAAAAAATAGTTTTTTCTCCAGATTCCATCCCTGCGTCGCTTCACAATTCTGGCTATATACTTGGTTTTCGCTACAATAATGAATTGAAGTTTATTTTTAGGCCAGGTTTTCCGGTTTTACATGTAATTCCTGTTTTGAAGGGTTTGACCAGTTTGTTTCGGATTTTTGCTCCTGCTGAGACAGTGCTGCGCCCAGACCATCGCGGGTGCATTTTTGTACGGGCCCTGGCAGCCTCGTGGTTTCGATCCGTGATTTCCAGTACAAGTCACAGTTAGTGTGGGGCATTCGAATCCCATCACGCCTCCTGCCTTTTTTTCTCTTCTTTTCTGCATGTTTTGGATCTTGTTGGGTGAAATACAGTAGGGATGATGTTTTCTCTTTTTGATATGATATGAGCCTCCCTGTTCTCTTCGCCTGACACAACGAGTGACAGTGGTTTCACTCACGCCAGTTGCAAGGTGAGTTCGACGACGAGGATTTCGGATACTCAAGCTTCGATCAAAATCCAGCTCTTGTTCGAAGAAACTATGAACACGACTAATCATATCTTTCTCGGCATCACTGAGATTCTTACGGGCCTTGGAAGCCGTTACAGTCAGGCACTCAGAAAATGCAAACAAGAAGAAGATTCATTTGAGACTTTCCTCTCACCTTTTCATTCGCGACTTTGCGTGTTTTGCATCTTTTGTATTTCCCGCGGCGACGAAGAAAAACCTGAAAACACATCTGAAAACCAGAAAACACTCAGGCAAAACTCACGGCTGTCGTGCGCTACAGTACGTACGACTCGTACGTATGAGTTCACTCGTCTATAGTTTTGAAATGGACTGTAGTCCTGTGTGTTTTGCTATCCAAAGTCCTGTCTTAGGACCGGTATATTCTATTATGCAATAACATTGCTTATAGGAGTAAATGGTCACTTGAAATCCACGTTACGATTATGAAATATTCATTGGCTTGAGGGAAAGATACAAACGGGAATGGTCTGAAGCATAATTGGCTGTCACCACCAGGATTCGAAATATGATTAGGGGCCGTCCGTAAATATCGAACTTTTTTCACCAAACGAATTATTTTAGTTTAGACCCAACCCCTCCCTCCCTCCCCCTCAGAACGTAAAAAGTGTTGACATATACAATGCATATACAACAAAACCCGCAAGTGTGTAACTGCTCCTATGGCCATGTACATGTATCGAACTTTTCTGAAACGAAATTGATCAACCCCCTCCCACCCCATAACGAAATTATTTCGTTTCGTGAAAAAGTTCGATAATTATGGACGACCCCTTATGAAAATATGAGATTTCATTCTTGTACACAAAGGCACACGATGAAAACCTTGGCAAATTCCATTGTGACAGTGTTGTAGGTACCGGTACGAGTGATTGCAGTAAAACCTGTCAAGGCAACCACTCAGATAAAGTGATCACTTCGACCAGGACTATTTAGAGGGATGTTATTTCCAGTCAAATAACCCTTGATAAGGAGACCACCTGTACACGAGGACCACATTTTGAAGGTCCCTTGAGCGGTCTGCTTAGACAGGTTTCACTGTACCATGTGTTCAGACTGGAAATACATAGATGTGATTGTACAAAACTGAGTTCTTGGCTTTGAGAGGGAGAATTTCTTTTACTTCTTGGAAAACTTGGTACAGTCGTCCCTCTCTAATCCGGCACTTTATAATCCAGCACCCTCGATAAACCAGCACAATTTTCAGTAGCCAAAATGTCCTCTTCATGCACATTGCAGCAGTTAATCCAGCACCCTCCCTAATCCAGCAGATTTTCGTGGCACAAATGGTGCCGGATTATAGAGGGACCACTGTAATGCACTTAAAGGGGAAGTTAAGGCAAAAATCAAAATTTCACCAGTTGTAGTCTTCGGGGTGCTGAGTCGAATGGTCTTGGTCCGAGAAAGCTGAGACGCTTCCTTCCTACTTGAATCCCAATCGAACTCGCGCACTTCCACCGAAACTGGGTGACTGCGCCCTACTAGATGGGGATTTGTATGCAAAATGTCACTAAAAGCGCCATTTCGTTCTTATAAAAGCACAGATGACCGCGATTGGCCCATATGTTGTAGTCTTTTGGACGCTGAGTCGACTGGTTTTGGTCCGAAAAGGCTGCGATGCAGCGTTCCTCCTTTATTCCCAATCGAACATGGTTGAACAAGCGGTCACGTGCTCCTGGGTGCCCAAATCACCTGGTCACCACGCCAACAGGCGACAACTTTCACACCAAGGTTCAACTCGGGTTCAACTCGAGTGACAGGACTGAACCCAAAAAAGGTCAAACAGGCTAGTAAGTGAGTTAGTTGTACCCTGCAGGCACGGTGACCAGGTGACTGGTGTACGCAGGAGCACGTGACCGCTTGTTCAACCATGTTCGATTGGGAATAAAGGAGGAACGCTGCATCGCAGCCTTTTCGGACCAAAACCAATCGACTCAGCGTCCAAAAGACTACAACATATGGGCCAATCGCGGTCATCCATGCTTTTATAAGAACGAAATGGCGCTTTTAGTGACATTTTGCATACAAATCCTCATCTAGTAGGGCGCAGTCACCCAGTTTCGGTGGAAGTGCGTGAGTTCGATTGGGATTAAAGTAGGAGGGGAGCGTCTCAGCTTCCTCGTACCACGACCATTCGACTCAGCACCCCGAAGACTACAACTGATGAAATTTTGATTTTTGCCTTAACTTCCCCTTTAAGTAATTAATGCAGCCGTAAACATGATTCATGAACTCTTCAGCTTTCATGTTGGCCATTTCTAAACTCAGACCGTGGCTTTGGACTTGGTGTCAATTGGTGATCTTTCTGCTGCATGTGCTAAATTGGGTACGACCTTAGACACGGCATCTGCCTGGCAAAACCTCTGTACTGTTGTAAAAGTGCTGTTCACCCTGCCTGCCTCTGTTGCCTGTTGTTCACATTTCACCCTGGCCCTGTGTGACATGGTGTTCGTTTGGCAGTGTGAACTGATTCCTCCGCTTCGTGTGTTCTTGATTCAGAAACCGCATGTCGTTGGCACCGACACAGTCGTTCTACTTGCTCGTAAATAACAAAACCATGGTGAGCATGTCCACAAATCTACAGGAAGTCTACAACAAAGAGAAGGATGAAGACGGCTTTCTTTACATGGTGTATGCCTCGCAAGAATACTTTGGCTGATGATGGGGTGTAAGTTACTGCCATCACTCCTGCTCTTCCTGTATATTCCATACATATCCATCCACCGGGTGTAAACATTTCGTATTCAGATGATGCTGGTTAATCACTCTGTATATACTCCCTTGTGCATGCCGTGCCCCTTCATCTGCATACGTTGATTTACTGCTGCTGCTGCTGCTGTTGTTATTATTACTGGTCTGGTACTATCCTGTGTGTAATGTACAGTCTTCGCAACTCATGCGTCTCTTTGTCGCGCCCGGTGTTGTTTGGCTTGTTCTTTTGCTCTTTTTCCCGAATCTTTGTCATTTCTGCTCGTTATCAGGATCATTTTCTCTTGTGCAATGTGTGCTGTGTACCTTTTTCTCTCTCCCTCTCTCTTTCTCTCTCTCTCTCTCTCTCTCTCTCTCTCTCTCTCTCTCTCTCTCTCTGCCTTGATTTCCATGCTTTATACATAACCTGCTGTGGCCTTTTTTGTGAATGGTGTTCCCCGCCACCTTCGCTGCTCTGCTGTCTACAATTGCTGTCTTCGATTGCTGTATTCCACATCCTAGGTGCCATGTGAGCTGTAAGTCGCTCTTAAGTTGTCCGGTAACATCTGTGTGGGTGGGTGGGTGTCATGCCTCCTCGGTTTTTATAATATTCTGCTTCATCCATCTATGCGTGCCTGTAGATTTAACTTGGTTTGTGTTGCACTGTCTGTAATAGTACCGCACTATCATGTAGCACTCTGTAGTTTCCTCTCTTTTGTATGTACTCCATGTGCTGGCAAATGTATTTTCAGTCATGCAGTCGTTATGTCTCATAAGGTGCGCTTTTTTTTAGATGCTTTGAATGCTAGCTGCACCTGAAGGCTGGAACCACTCTTTTAGCTTCTTGAAAGCCATCAGAGTGTAAAAACAAGTACAAACGCCTGAGGAATGTTGTTGGTGTGCCGTGTGACTTCCTGGGCCTGCGCATGGTTTGCCATGTTTGTTTCCTTGGAATTGTATCAGTGAGCAGGGCTCCCTACATAGTGGTTGGTGGAGGGGCTGAGTTCACCCCACTACATGAAACACAATGCATGCAGTTTACATACTAGGGGGAGTAGGGGGTAGTAAAATACCTGGTACAAACGTATGCACAGTGAAACCTGGCAAAGCCACCTGCTCACGGGACCTTCCAAACGCGGCCTTCATGACATCAAGAATACATAACTGGGGGTTATGAACTCTTGATGACATGTACAGGTGGTCGCCTTAGAAGGCTTAGGTACTGTGCTCTTGCCTAGTCTTGGTTGATCCTGTATGAAAGTTGTCCTCTACAGGACAGGTCAGGTGGTCGCCTTGGCAGGTTTTACTGTATCAAGACCTGACACTGATACACACTGTACATCACCCTGTCCCCGGGAAAAATTGCGATTTTTTAAAAGACCGCGTTTTCCGCGATTTTCCCGCGTTTTTTGAACTTTTTTGTTGCACTTTTAGGGTTTTACGTCGGGCCCTAGACGACGGCTACTTTGGCCAACCGGACAACGAAGAAGTTGTGACCAAAGAGAATGATTTTATTTCTTGCGCATGCGTATGTAGAATGACGTAATACTCAGGGAGTGAGGTCGCTACAGTACTCCCCCGCCTGTGGTGAGGTCGGGAGGAGCGAAGCACGATAAACAAGAAACAAGAAAGAGAAGAGAAAGGAAAGCGCAGCATGTACAAGGCGGAAAGGCAAAAATATAATAATAATTATGATACATATGTACAGGCGAGAGCGCTGCGTGCGTGAAATTTGTTTGAGACGTGGCAACAAATGCCGAAACAAAAATCAGAAAAGCAGGAAAGAGAGAGATGCATGACAGAGGCGGGTTAAAGGGGAAGTCCGGTGAAAAATTTAAATTTCAGGGTTGGTAGAGTTTCGGCCGCTGAGTCGAATGGTGTTGGTCCCACATGTCCCCGACAAAGCGTTCTCGAGATATTTCCGTTTGAAAAACTGAGTTTCGGGGGCTGCGCCATGACGTCATGCGGCCGCGCCACACCCTCCGCAACGTCATAGCGTGCAGTGCAGCTAGGTCAAAAGGAGTGCGTGAAAGTGTCAGTGCTATTTCAAATGATTTGGCGACCCATAGTAGGTGGTGCAAGCGACTCCGAAGACGTAACTCCTTGTGAGAGTGAGGATGCAGCCATGGCTGACCTTCATGAGTTCGGTCTGGGGCTGAGAACCTCGGTATTCAGCTGAAGAAATGGCCGCGCGGGCCGGTCAAGAGTGAGCGCTACTGAGTTTCCGACTGATGAAGAAGCAGCAGCTATTGCAGACGAAGCTGATATAATTATCAGCTCGCTGGAGAGCTGAGTCGCCAAAATGGAGAAGAGTGATGCGAGTGCTCTTAAGACTAAATGTTGTTCCATACCGATTCGCTTACGGCTTAGACTCCAGTAACCTGCCACATGGTGATGTTTTGGTGCGAACCGCAAGTTGGCGTATTTCGGACACTCAATTGGAGAACAGTGCAGGCTCTTTGAACTACGGGCACGACTCTTCGCTCGCAACGCTACGGGATCTGAAAGTTCTAGGTCCGGGAGCTGTTCGCTGTTTTGTCACTTGTCACGGTTGTGCACTCATCGCTGTAGCATAAAATAATGAGGCGGGAGCGGAAAACTAAAATTTTCTTTCTCAAAGCACAACCACCACCGGCAAGGAGAAACGCTCGTTCTCTGACTACACGACTGATACGAGTGTAGTACATGACAAGTCCGTGTGTTGACCATGGTTGACTAGTTTTCTGAGTCTTGTGACTCGAGTCTTGTTGTACCTACCCCAGCATGGCAGTGCGGGAGTAGTTCCGTGTGTGATGAGTTTGTTGACTACACTACAGGTAGCATGCACGCAGCGCATTGCTAGAGCCGTAGATAGAGGCCAGTGCATGTCGACGGAAAAAGTCCAACTCGGAAACGGCTAAAATACGGTATAACCTCGAGGTTTACCGAGCTGAAAATCACAGGGTACGTAGTGTTTGTAACACTGAATCGAATGGTCTTGGTCCGAAGAAGCTGCGACAAACGGTTCCCCAATCGAACGCGCTCCGAATATGGCCGTTTTTGCACACATCTAGATGGTGTGGCCACCTGGATGCACGCTGTGACGTCATCACCTGGATCTGGGTGAGGCGCGCTCAAATCCGCACATGTTCGATTGGGCGTATCTAACGAACCATAGGCCGCAGCCTCCTCGGACAAAGACCATTCGACTCAGCGCCCCGAACTCTACGGACTGTGAAATTTAAATTTTTCACCGGACTTCCCCTTTAACGTGTCAGAGGTGTGTTAAAGGGGAAGTTAAGGCAAAAATTAAAATTTCACCAGTTGTAGTCTTCGGGGTGCTGAGTCGAATGGTCTTGGTCCGAGAAAGCTGAGACGCTCCCTTCCTACTTGAATCCCAATCGAACTCGCGCACTTCCACCGAAACTGGGTGACTGCGCCCTACTAGATGGGGATTTGTATGCAAAATGTCACTAAAAGCGCCGTTTCGTTCTTATAAAAGCATGGATGACCGCGATTGGCCCATATGTTGTAGTCTTTTGGACGCTGAGTCGACTGGTTTTGGTCCGAAAAGGCTACGATGCAGCGTTCCTCCTTTATTCCCAATCGAACATGGCTGAACAAGTGGTCACGTGCTCCTGGGTGCCCAAATCACCTGGTCACCACGCCAGCAGGCGACAACTTTCACACCAAGGTTCCACTCGAGTGACAGGACTGCACCCAAAAAAGGTCAAACAGGCTAGTAAGTTGTACCCTGCAGGCACGGTGACCAGCTGACTGGTGTACGCAGGAGCACGTGACCGCTTGTTCAACCATGTTCGATTGGGAATACAGGAGGGACGCTGCATCGCAGCCTTTCCGGACCAAAACCAGTCGACTCAGCGTCCAAAAGACTACAACATATGGGCCAATCGCGGTCATCCGTGCTTTTATAAGAACGAAACGGCGCTTTTAGTGACATTTTGCATACAAATCCCCATCTAGTAGGGCGCAGTCACCCAGTTTCGGTGGAAGTGCGCGAGTTCGATTGGGATTCAAGTAGGAAGGGAGCGTCTCAGCTTTCTCGGACCAAGACCATTCGACTCAGCACCCCGAAGACTACAACTGGTGAAATTTTGATTTTTGCCTTAACTTCCCCTTTAACGTGACAGAGGTGGAGAGCATGTCAGAGGCAGAAAGAAAGAAAAGAGGAAATGTACGCGTGACAGAGGAGTGTTATCGTGTCAGAGGCGGCTGCATGTTGCAGGCTTGGCGGGATACCAGCAGGAGCGCTGCACAGGGGCGAGGCGTGCCGACTGAGGCGGGGACAGATGGAGGCGAGCGCAGCTCCATGGGGTCCGGTGCCGGGCGTGGGCCTGCGTGCGTGCACAGTGAGTGAGCTGGTACGACGGGTGGAGGTGGCCAATTTCCAGCTGAGGCCAGGACGAATACAGACGACGACGACTGGACGATGCCGTGGCAGGATAGCGGGGTATCCAGGTGGGCCGGGGAGGGTGGCAGGGGCCACAGCAGCTCCGAGGCGGATCCAGTGCGAGTGGTGGTGAGGCTCAAGTTTTACGTCAACAGCCGGCGATTGACGGGATCCCGAGAGTTGAGGCGAGCAGGAAACTGCGGCGGGCCGAGCTCGGGGATGGCATGCTCAAAACTCCGAAGAGCGCAGCGTCAGGGGTCACCAATTTATGGTTTTACGTCGGGCCCTAGACGACGGCTACTTTGGCCAATCGGACAACGAAGAAGTTGTGACCAAAGGCAAAGAGAATGATTTTATTTCTTGCGCATGCGTATGTAGAATGACGTAATACTCAGGGAGTGAGATGAGGTCGCTACACACTACACGTACACACAGTGCACTGTTCGGTCAGCAACGTCTCATCGTGGCGGCTTTTTACTAGGGCTCAAACGGTTAGTCCGGTTAACCGGTTGCAGACCGGTTACGAAGAATTAACGGTTAACCGATAAAGATAACGGTTACACAGTAACTTTTCAGTCAATTTTTCAAGTATCAGGTCGTTGCAAAGTGTGCACTTTCGCAGGCTGTCGCACGCGTACGCAATTTCTGGGCTGTCAACTCGGTCATATCTGGTCTCTTGGTGTGAGAGTATGTATGAATGAGCATGCAAGAGAATGTACAAGTTTGCGTTGTACTGAATAGGGTACATTTTTTGAATGAGTATAGTCAAATATACGGTTAAAAAAGAGTCCGCAGGATTGCCGTGGCTTATAGGTTATAACCGGTTAACCGACCGTTAGCTTAGCAGTTAACCGTCAGGGGTAAAACCGTGACCGTTTGAGCCCTACTTTTTACTCAAATATGACGAGTGCTTTAAATACACCAGAGACTTGTAACTGATTGATTTCACTACATACTCACTGAAAATTGCCGCACATCAATCACCGCATATTTACCGCAAATTCACCGCAAATTATGCCATATTATGCCGCGTTTTTCCGTGCGTTTTTTGCGTTTTTTTCCGCAATTTTCCCCGGGGACAGATCACCCCCCCCCCCCCCCCCCCCACACACACACACAAGACACAAGTGACGAGGATATACATGTAGATAGTATCAAGAGTACTCTTATCCGGAAAAAAAAACAAGAGTACTCTTGATAGTAATACATGTACTACTAATAACAGTTAGTTTTTAGTGTGCCAAAATGCACACAGCTATGCTACTGTGCATGTCTGTAGACTGTTATCTGGTTATAGTCCATATAGCGCAACTATCCCACCCGCAATACCAGTACAATCCTACACGACTCCAATACAACGCGCTATGCAGGTCCGGCTGCAAGACTGGTTCAACGACGTGCCAGGACAAGGGGAAAAATACGGATTTGAGCATTTGTACACAGAGAATAAGAGAGTGTAGAAAGAAAAATGATCATGTGAACATAGAACACACGGTAGAAGAAATCATATCTGAATGAGTAAAGTGTCATAGGCAGCCGAGTTCAGAAAGCAAGGTGGATTACAGGCCACAAACAGAGGTAGCGCTGGGGATTAAAAAAAAAGAGAAAGAAAGGAAAAGGGCGGTTGACAGGCTGGCACTGGAAAAGAGGGGTGGGGGTGTTAAAATAGATTAAAACGCCACTATTCGACTGGGGTACGACGAGCAAAAAAATAGAGGAACAAAACCAAACCAGTCAGAGTGACATATATGCCCAGTTCACAGACTGATGCAACACAGCTCAGATAAAGATCGTGAGCGGAGCGGAGAAAGCAGAAGCAACACAGACATGGAGACAGCACAGCAAGAACAAAGAATATACTAGGCAGCAGCAGCAGCAGCGGCAGCAGTTCTGAGCAATGCATCTATGTATTGTATGCACACACCACAAGCAAACACACACCATGCACACACACACACGCATATACAAACATACCCAGGGTTAGTTAGAAAATGCACGCATGCCCTCACACCCACACACGCACACACCCAAGAGCGGCATAAGACAAAATTACTACCGACCCTTGACGCTAGCAGAGACAGCAGCCATGCTAAAAGAATCGGAGGTTTAACTTAGCAAGCACAAGACACAGAAGCACACACCACCAGCAGCAACAAGTTGATGAGCATCAAAAAAAGTACAAACGAAGGAAAAGAGCTATGAACAGGTTATATTGACTCCCATGACCAAACTATGCATAGGAAAAGGAGTTTAGTTGAGATGAAATCCCTTCTCAATGGTGGCCGCCAAGAGGCGCTCTTTCAGCAACTCGGCTGTCGGGTAATCGGGCAGCTTCAGGTAGTGTACGCAGGTATTCACCGATGGGAAGCCGGGCTCGTCCTTGCGCACCACTGTAAGGCGTGGATGGAGATTGGCCAGTCCACCCGGTGGAAGTGACGAGCACCCAGTGGCGAACTGCAGGAATGCCTGCAGCAGTGATAGAGTGACAAAAACAAAACAATTACTTTTCATGCACAAGTCAATTACGCATCGGATCTTTTAGAAGGAAGAGGTAACTCAAATGCCACATCTCTCCATCTGCCGGTGCAATCTAGCTTGATAAAAACGAGCTCTGTTCGCGTGATAATCCAGACGCGAAACAAGGCTTTTTCAAGTTAGTACACAGCAGCAGCAGCAGCTTCACTTACTTTGCGTTCGTCGGCTGTCATTTCGCTAAGCACATCAATAAGGCGCAGGTAGCTAGGACTGCGGTCAAACAGAGCATAAGAGCATAAGAGCAGCAACAGGACAAGCAACACACATGGGGTTATAGGAATGCGAGCGAGGCCCTTCAACCAACACGCTCTTTGCTCTTTCCACCTGTTGAGGCGGGCTACACCCTGCACGCCAACAGAGTCTACCGCATAGTACCGAGCACTACAAAGCACAAACGCATAGACATGCACCTGGATATAGACATGGGTACATCCAAGAGTCTATATCCTAGCACCCACCACCACCGTACAGACTGCACAGCAAGCAGGTTACGCACAGCAAACAAACAGCGGATGAGACATACCTGTCGCGTTCGTAGCCGTATTTCGGCTCCGTGTACTTGAGCAGTTCGTCGCGTGTCCACGACGGGGCCTGCTCGCCGCAGAGGATCAAGCGCAGTTCATGCGGCGTGAACACTTGCAGCCGGTCAATGGGGAAAACCTCGTTGAAGCCAGCTGCAGAAGGCAGGCAAGGGGCATTGACATGACATGTATTGTACAGTGTGCTTTTCTAAGCACTCGCAGACTCCATTGCAGCTATTTACACATTTCTCATTAGGATACCTCAACGCACAAACACTCAAAATATGCACCAACTCACCTCTGAACGCATCCATTTGTTTGCGTATTCCAATGTCCATGCAGAAGTCACTGACGACCTCCACATAGCGACCACAGTTCTCCATTGTCAGATCCTGCAGGGCGATCAGCACAGAACACAATACATACCTAAACTCTGAACAATACCAATTAGGGCGGCGCAACAGTTTCTGCCACCAAATTTCAGAGCATTCTACATGTACGTTACACAATGGTGCAAGGATATACCTAACTCAAACCCGTAGGAGATATTCTGCAAGAACTGATGAGCAGGGAGAACTCATTAGCAGTGCTGGTGGCACCAAAACAGTCTAATACAGTCCCAGGTAGCACAGTGAAGTTGGCCACTTCATCTATAAGACATCGTGACCAGGGCCAGCTGTCCAGCCCAAGTGCCAGCAAAGCTGTGCACCACACCGACGTTGCACAATGCATGATGACAGCGCCAACCGATTGCTTTGAGCACGCCAAGCAAAGCTATCATTGTCATGCATATTGCATACACACTGCGACGCATTACCATTTCACTGCCATCCGGTAGAAGATCATGTGCCGAGTAGCCGTACACCTTCGATGGTGGGTCAAAAGTGAATGTCAGGCTACGGGAGAAACGGATATACACACATTTACACATGTAAACATCGCACACACGCACGCACACACACACACCATAAGAACAGTCAGTACCTGGCAAAAGGACCCAATACCCAAAGAAAACAAGGACACCAGAAATGATACATGCAGAACAGAAGACCGTACGAAGAAAGCAATGCGACACTGCTAGTAAGTTATAGAAGGCACACACGTACCACATGTCTTCCAAGGCAGCCTCATCCCCGTTGGGCATAGACAACTTGAGACTAGCAATCGCTTGCTCCGTCTCTTCTGCCGGTCCGGATGCAGCTAGCTCTTTCCGCTTGGCATCGAGGGTGCGGAGCTGATCCAGGAACTTGGCACGGTACGAGTCGACAGCTTCGTGATCAATTGACGTGAGTATGTCGCTGTACCAAGATTGACTGGTGGGATTAGCTGCAGCCACTGCAAAGACAATACAATACATGTACAGGTACAACAGTACACTCAATGACGTCCTCCTCCTTCCCACTGAGAACTAACAAGATCCTGAAAAAAAGGAGGACGACTGGCTCAAGGACAACACTGGCCTAGTTTACATTGCACATGAGGCTCATGACATAGCCAACCGCCAATGTGTTATGTGAGTGAGTGCACACTGCACATGTACAAACACATGTACAAACACATGTACAAACACATGTACAAACACATGTACAAACACATGTACAAACACATTCATTAACACGTAGCTACTGTAGTACAGTGCTGCTCAACGACATCCGATCAAGTGAGTCAGGTACGTGGTCGGCACTGTGCAGCCCTAGACTTGCGAACACTGGAATGTGAACTGGAGCACTGCAGGGCGTTGACTTGACTCACGCGATCCGATTTCATCGAGCAGCACTAGTAGCTTAATCAGCAGTGCATCACACATCATGCATGTACATGTACATACCTGGTGAGCGGAGGCCAGGCGGTGGTGTCCAGCCGGACCAGCGGATGGGTGACGGTGCTCCAGACAGATTATCCGTGAAGCCGCTAGCACTCCTCGTCAACGGCAGGTTTGAGCCTCCCAGCGGCGTCGGCGCCTTGTCCGTGGGCGTCCGGACTGGCGTGTCTAGCTCAGGCACCGGTGTCATGTAAGACGGCACTGGAGTAGTGAAGCAACTTGACAGCGTGTAGCCATCGCTACTCACGCCAGCCTGTCCGCTGCACAGAAGCTAAACAACAACAGAACATGACAAGCGCAAGGAGAGACAAAGGTGAAATACAATGCATGGAAGAGACAAGGTTGAAGCACAAAGAGTGGCGTTGAAACACAAAGCATGACAGAGACAGAAAAACTCATGCATACGGACAGTAGTTTGCGCAACAACTCCACAATAGACATCTCTCTCATTCTCAACACATCACATCCTTTCGAGCCTTGGCAATTATTATGCCGTGACCCGTAAGAACGTGATATTCCAGTTTTGAATACCACCGCGTTGTCTTGTGTCAAGACTGCAGTTTGTATGCAGTTCTCAAAGAAGTTTACGAGCTTCTAAATGAGACAAGCATCTGCACAAGACGGTCATTAGGCGGTACATGTACATGAACCGTAAAGTACCGCCAGAGCGCCCCGTCTCGCGAGAGCGCCCCACCTTGATTTTACAGCCAGAGGAAGGAAAATCGTATGGCAGAGTGCAACGAAGTTTGTACGATGTAAGAATTTTAGTGTACTAAGGTCACACTTGGCAGGTTTTTGTGTGGAGCTTGTGTCCGCTCGAAGGTACGGATTGACTGCAAAACGTGCAATATGCGTACAAGGTTCATGTCGTATGACCTACAGACAGCAGACCACCTCCACAATACGACCACGAAAGGACGAGATGGTGGGGCGCTCTGGCGGTACTTTACGGTACATCTACACGAACAGGACTCTTGTGCCAGTAGTTTACTCTATTGAAACTTTGAAAGTCAAGTTTGTATTCAAACTGTGGACTTCTATATGACCCAGGCTTTCATACAGGACAGTAGGGTATCCTCGTGACCGTGAACAATACATGATCATGTGAATGTAAACAAGAGCAATGTACCTAAACATCTGTGGTCGTACTTCACTGGCCAGCCCAGTACAGTACTCCGGAAGCACACAATGTATCGATGTATTGATGTATCGATGTATTGATGTATTGATCAACAACATGAACTAACCTTTAGGAAAGCATTGGACAGTGGAATGTCCACCAGGCGATTATCTTGCAAGCACTTTGCCAGGAATGTTCCTAGGAAGTGGAAGAGGCGTACGATGGAATCCAGACCGGGCCAGTCCTGTGGGTAGGGCGCAGGGAACAGACCGCCGTGCCGCTGTACGTAGTAACCAGCCTGACGTACTCCACTGCCTATGTCAACCTGTATGCACAACAGTCAGTGAAACAGAGTACAGACAACATGATGCATACATGAACGCAAAAGTACATGCCCGCAAGCACACGCACATACAGAAGTAGGCAGTGTTGCTACAAGAATTGCTCACACATTGTGGGCGGAATAAAAGCAAGTACTTTGAAACACACGGATACTGAGCCAATAACAAAATGTAAAATTGCTTCAGTTGCTTCAGAATTCGTTCCCATGTGTTCTCTTCTATTTTAAATAATATTTATAGCAAAGAAAAGGAGCAAGGAACTACAAGTTACGCTATAAGTATAAGGTCCACTAACACCACCAGTTACTTGACAATCAGCTCATGCGATAACATTGCACGACACTGACCGACGGAACTGACGTTCTACAACTAAACTGCCAATCAGCTCTACATTACAGATACACCAAAGTACAATCATGTACATGCAGGATGTTGATAGCACATCACAAGATGGAGGACACACTGCAAGGAAAACAGTGCTCAAGCAAAGCCTGCATACTCGTATACACTGTACCGGTAATCAGGCACACATGTACAATGTAGATCGACAAGGCACGTAGTAGCGATCACAGAGCATGTACAGAAGCTCAACAACAGCAAGATCACTGTGCACGGTGCAGAATATACCCAGCACATGTACTACACTACTGATCACGTCACAATAAGTTAGTCCCTGCCAAGACGACACCGCAGACACAACACTACCCTACTGCATACGATGCAACATACCTCTCTTTCCAGGTCATTAGGAGCATCGTCGTCCACCAGCCACATGCCAAGGTCTTTCCGCTGTAGCTGCGCCGAGACCAAGGCATAGAATTCCAGCGTCGGGCCGAGTCCAGTGCCATACTCGTTTTCGAACTCCACTTCCAGTATGCTCTTGTGCTCGGCATGCACACGCATGATGTTTACGGCCCAGTTGAGAACCTGCACACATGACAGCAAAGCGGAGCAAAGGACACAGTGTACATGTACAATTGGTAGCATGTACCGGCACTAACTCAGTACTTTTAAAAACAATGTACAGGAATCATGGCCAAAAAACCTCCCGTGCATACTAGAACACCATGCAAACCATGGTCAGGTGTGTGTGGGGGGGGGGGGGGGGGGCAGGCACTGGCAGAACACAACTCAAGTGCAGACTTGAAATAGTAATAGCCAGGCAAAGAAAAGCAAACAAACAACATCGGGGTAACGTAGGGTAGCGCCTCTTACATCATCACCGCGAGGCACTTTCACACGCTCGTGCTTCAGCCGACCGAGCCTGAACTCCATATCGTCGTGCCGTGATGAGCCGCCACGACTTCGCTCCGATAGCTGCTGGTCTCGCTTGTTTTGCAGCCATACTACAGAACTGCAAGAGTAGAAAGAGATACAGTGCAGCAACAGAAGCAGCAGAAGATGAGGTCATGGATTTAGCACACTGTGTCATCGATTTTGGTCATCGATTTTGAAAACTGAATATGAATTCCTAGCCTCCTTATGAGATGCTTGCCCTTCACTCTGATTGCTCTATCTTCACTCAACTTTGAAACGAAACAAACACATGTAGTATGAATACACAGAAAGTCTGATATACAATGTAGCTGGACCATTATCAAAGGTGCGCAACCCATAGTGTGTAAATGACTTCTAAGTTGAAAACATGAGCAACTCCTTGCGATTAGACTGTACAATGCACAACACACTAAATACACTACACACTCACCGTGTTACTCCAAATGCCGACGCGGCGAAGAACATCTGCCGCACGTCGAACGGGAAGAGCATGGGACAGACGGCTACCAGGTGTTCACACCAACTCGGCAAGGCATCACTGGAGATGGCCAGCGGATCCTGTCAGCGAGAACCAAGCCAAACAAACAAACACACACGGGGAACAGAAGTCATATTAAGGCACTCTAAAAACTTGCAATTGGAAATTCCAAAAGACTGCTGTTGACGAACCACATATTTATGGTATGACGTGCAAAGTGTAGGAGCCTTAAGGTTTGGATATCCGAGTACATATATCCGGATAACTGGCTGGGGAAGGACTGAAGTTTAAAGTGAAAAATCAACCTAGAAAAAGGGCTGCGTAGCACCAGACCTCAAAGCCCACGTGAGCACATACCTGAACTTGCTGCAGCAGCTTGTTGGTGATTTTCTTGCTGACAAAGTCATCCAGCGAGACAGGAAGAAGAAGAACGTCGAATTCACTCTCCCCTGTACAACAGAGCAGCATACATTGATAGTGAGATACATGAAGAGGGGTTGGAGGAACAGGAGACGTTCAGATAGGAGCCAAGAATAGTCTCCAACTCTGCGTCCGGGCAACTCACTACTTGCTAGCTTTCAAATACATGTACACTCATGCCTCAGTGTTCCGGACACCGAAGTTACAGGAACGTCGGTCTACCGGGCATCCTTTCGGCGAGTTCAGTGGAAATAATACTACCCTTTTGTTATCGCATGCCGTATCTCTGGTCTTCCCCATCAAAACGTATGCGATTCAACGGACATTTCAAAGTTACGGGCAGTGCCCGGCCCAGGACCGCCCGGATAAACGAGGTATGAGTGTGGATGATGATAGTGCAGGGTCCGCGGAAAACTGCTCTGTGGCTTAAATTCACGTAACCAGCTTCTGGTTAAACACGTGCTCTTTCCCTATAGTCTGCATCAGTACACTGCAATCATTGAACTTGTTTATTCCCCCCCCCCCCCTCCCTTCCCCCACTCCCTCCCACTTTTACTGACTCACTGACTCACCTACTCGCTCGCCCACTCACTCACTCGTAACCCCACTCTTAACTCACTCCATCGCCCACTCACTCATCGCCCACTCACTCATCGCCCACTCACTCATCGCCCACTCACTCATCGCCCACTCACTCATCGCCCACCCACTCACTCAATTACCCACCCCTCACTCACTCACTCACTCACTCACCCTCCTTACCATCAGCAGGTGGTACGACAATAGGTGAGCTGGCCAGGTGAAAGAGCAGTCGCAGCAAGTGCAGATAGGGTGCCACCTCGACCAACGGACTGTCCAGCACGTCTAACTGCAGATCGCCAGATGTCACCATAGGCTTGCCGCAGAAATCCTATTCAACAATAACCACAGCCACAGCCACGACAGCAGCAGCAGCAGCAACAATGCACAAAGAAGTTGAACATCAGAAACATCAGAAACATCAACAGCAACATCAACATCAACATCAACAGCAACATCAACATGAGCATCTACAGCAACAGCACACCAAAATGCAGGCACGCATAGCAGATAGGTTATGCGAGAGAGGTAAGTACAGTAGTTAGTCATGCATCAGAACGCCTCCGTGGGCAGAAATTAAACAGGCTCTTTAGCTACAGTGGTGCTAACAACAGGCAGTTAATATCACAATTATTATGTTATGCAGCATATGTCCTGTATGCTGTATTGTAGTTCTTACCTTGTAAGCAGCAACGAGCTGGGAGCAGTTGCGCCCCTTGCGCAGTGCACGCACAGTACCGACCAGCTGCCACTGTTTCAGCCATTCGGGATTGGCATGCTTCTGTAGATACGAGATCATCTCAGACTTGGGAAAGTCCTGCGAGCCGAGGGTGGACTCGACGTGAAACACCGTCCACTTGGCCTGAAGGCATCAACATGCACACAAATACACGAAGTACACATATTGAAAGACGAGTCCTGGACCTGTCCTGGACCTGTCCGGTCCTGGACCTGTGCTGGACAAATCCCCATGTTATTGATGTCAAGTACTGAGATGCTGGCGAGTGCAAGTAGCATAAACGTGCAGAACATATTACAGCAGACAATCTAGAGTGTATGAACATGTTTTCCCTACCAGCAGATACTGTACATGTACTTTGAAGTATGCTGCACACACACACATAGCTACTTATGACTAGCAGGCAAGCAGGACACACACCTTGGGTGGCGGCGGCTCAATGATGTACTGGTAGTGCTCATTTTCGTCCTCCTCATCAAACTTGCGGTAACGCAGACTACAAGCACAAGAAACACATGTGGAAAGAACGCAGACAGAGGGTAGAAAAGAGTCACGGGGATAGCTCGCAGACCCACTGCAAAACCCATCTCCTGGAATGTGCAGTTGTGGCTACAAGTAGTTCTGTTGCTGTCCAGTCGAAGCCAGTGCACTGCTAAAGAAGAGCATGCACACAGACACGCAGACAAATAGGCGCACGCATACACACATACACATGCAGACGGACAGACAGACAGACGGACGGACGGACAGACAGACAGACGGACGGACAGACGGACAGACAGACAGACAGACAGACAGACAGACAGACAGACAGACAGACGGACAGACAGACAGACGGACAGACAGACAGACAGACGGACACACTCACTCTGGCATACTCGAAAGAATATAACCAAATAAAAACCCCAGACTGATGTGGTATATACGTACGAATAAGCTGGCTCCCAGATGCGGCGATTTCGGTCCAGTTTCCCACATGCCTGTGCACGCTGGAAGTAGCGTTGCACAGCGCAGAAGACGGTCTCATCATGTCGCAACATCATCTCGGGCATCTCGGCCAGCTGCAGGACATGACAGGGGTGCAACCAGGATACATACAACATACAACGCACGCACACACGCACATGCAAACAAACACACAAACAAACACACACACACACAGACGTGTTGCACATATATGAGCCCCGTACACACTTCCATACGTACACACTCCCATACGCACACACTCCCCTACACATATTCATGCACTCCCCGCTGGCCTTTGCCCTGTTGACCCCTTTTTCCCGCTCACCCTGTCTCACTAACTGCGTGCACCCCCTTTCCCGCTCACCCTGTCTCACTAACTGCATGCACCCCTTTTCCCGCTCACCCTGTCTCGCTTAATGCATGCACCCCTTTTCCCGCTCACCCTGTCTCGCTTAATGTATGCACCCCTTTTCCTGCTCACCCTATTCCCACTTACTGCATGCACCCCTTTTTCCCTCCATAGTATTAGATATACCCCGAAGGCTGTGCTTGCGCAGGCTGATCTCTGTGTGCTATTCTCCCAGTCCTTTGTTCTAGTCTGATCGGTCTCTAGTCTTGTTCTAGTCTGGATCTCTTGTTCTCGCTTTCAGATCTCTTGGTGCTATTTTCCAGTCCTTGTTCTTGTCCCAGTCTTGATCTCTCCGATGACTTGCTTGTCATAATAACACCATTCTAAAAGCCCTCCGAGTGTACCTGCTAATTGAGTAAGATAAGAGTGAGAGTTGTAGCAGTAGCAAGAGCAGTAGTAGGCGTAGTCCTTCTTTGACTACAGACGTGCATTAGTCCAGCCAGAGCCAAAATGAGGACAGATAGTTTGTACAGGAGGCGCGATTCAGTGTCAGTAGAGAAGCCTTATTGAGACATTGCCACAAGAACAACAAGCACGTACCCCAGGTGTATCCTTGACTTTCATGAAGAGAGCTAGCTGTGGACGATTGCTGGCTCGGTTGAGACGCAGCTGATCCAGAGTATCATCAGGAGTACCTATGCAATGGCCATACCATGCCAAGGAAAGGACACAAACAACGTCAGCCTATTGAAAGACTATGGATAAGTTTTACGGTGAAAACACAAGCCATTTACTGTCCCTCTTGGGTTTTGGTACCCACTCTTCTCTGGAGGAAGGGAAGGGTGTGTGTGTGTGTGGGGGGGGGGGGGGGGGCGTATTGACTTGAGATGTAACATAAAACGAAGAAACTAACTCATGGGCACTACACTGCACTGAAAGCAAACAGAACATTAGTGCATTGACATGAACAGCGTATAATACCAAACGGGATCAACAGCCACCAAGACCAGTAGAGAGGACACATACCAGGCGGTGGCACATCCAAATCCTGCGTCTGAGCGACATTGGTGCGGCCCGGGCGCGGGTCAAACGTGGGAAGCAGTGAAGCGTAGTGACGGCAAAGAACAATGTCCTCCTCCCAGTGACGCTGATGGTTGTCACCATCTCCTTCCTCATCATCTTCCTCCTCCTCCTCCTCAGCATCCTGACACAAGAATAATCAGAAGATTGAACAGTGAAAATCGTGCAAAAAAGCAAAACCACCACCACCGACGCCAACAGCGCCAAGAGTGCATAACCCCAAGAGTGTGAAGCCCAAGCGTATACCCTGCTGCCCCGACCGAATTTCAAGTTGACATCATTTTCATGATGCAATACTCCTCGCACGAGTGTTTTACGACGTAGTACTGGGTGTCGATTGCGCATAACACGTGCTTCTTAGCACTAGTCCGTACAGTACAGGATCAAATGTCCTTCACAGGTCCAGGATAAGTCAGACAATACGCGTACGATGCGCATTGCATCATTAAAATGACATCAACTTGAAATTCTGCCGGGACAGCACCCACAGTTGAGTTGCACACTCTTGGGGTTTATATACTCTTGGCAATTTAAATGCCCCTTTCGATTCTCCAGCAGCCGGCTTAGTGCATCCATATGGAATTATGCCATGCATGCACAGTGTACATACAGTGCACAGTGAATGGATTTTTCGATTTTCTGGGTATAAAAGTACACTATCGCACAACACACACACACACACACACACACACACACACACACACACACACACACACACACACCTGACCTTTGACGCCCATCACCGGAGGCGATGATAGCAATGCTACGGCAGAAGCCATAGCAACTTGGGCTGGGATTGCACCATTCAATAGCTTGCAAGGCTGAAGAATTGACCATCACTATTCAGCCTGGTCTACACCATACAGCTATCTGGAGTGACTTTTTCTGGCCAGTGAATCCCTATTTTTGTTCTTTTCTTTTTTTTCCCGCACACACATCACACCACATACTCCGGCATGCACTGGCTGTTGGTAACCACCCAGGAGAACACACACACACACACACACACACACACACACACACACACACACACACACACACACACACACACACACACACACACACACACACACACACACACACACACACACACACACACACACACACACACACACACACACACACACACACACACACACACACACACACACACACACACACACACACACACACACACACACACACACACACACACACACACACACACACACACACACACACACACACACACACACACACACACACACACACACACACACACACACACACACACACACACACACACACACACACACACACACACACACACACACACACACACACACACACACACACACACACACACACACACACACACACACACACACACACACACACACACACACACACACACACACACACACACACACACACACACACACACACACACACACACACACACACACACACACACACACACACACACACACACACACACACACACACACACACACACACACACACACACACACACACACACACACACACACACACACACACACACACACACACACACACACACACACACACACACACACACACACACACACACACACACACACACACACACACACACACACACACACACACACACACACACACACACACACACACACACACACACACACACACACACACACACACACACACACACACACACACACACACACACACACACACACACACACACACACACACACACACACACACACACACACACACACACACACACACACACACACACACACACACACACACACACACACACACACACACACACACACACACACACACACACACACACACACACACACACACACACACACACACACACACACAAACACACACACACACACACACACACACACACACACACACACACACACACACACACACACACACACACACACACACACACACACAGTCACGTATTACAGCCTAACACAGGCAAGCAGATTGCAACACGCACGTCGGATACATGCAGTGTATATTTTAGTCTTCTTTCTCTTTTTCAGCTTGCATTCTAGAACCTAACCTCATGGTAGTTGTCATAGTCTTCATCATTCTCGTCCGGAGGCACGCCTTCTGCCAAAACACTAACATATTCATCAACCGCAACTAGTTCATCAATATCAGATCCTTGGAGCTTGGCCAATCTTGCTCTTGCCTCTGCTTCGGCTTCCGAGGCTCCCGATGCTGCTTCTACTGCAACTAGGGCTGCTTCTGCTACTGCTGCCACCGCTGCTGCTAAGCCATCACGTTTAGACTGGGTAGCTTCCACCGAAGATGCTGACGTTGAGGAGGACCCAGAGGAGGATGCGCAAATGGCCTGCACAGCACTACTCCCACTGCTCTCGCTGCTGCTGCTTCTGCCACCGCCGTTGCCTCCGTCGTTGCTGCTGCCGCCGCCACTGTTGCTGCTGCTGCCGTCGTTGCCGCTGCTAGCTTCTGTTGATGACACATCCTCTTCACGCACCTTAACTGCATCAGCATCAGTTGTACCGTCTGCCACAGCACTACCAGATTTCTCGACCGATGGCTCTGCAGCTGATGGTTTCACGTCATCACCAGCTGAGTCTGATGCTGGTAGCGCAGGGTCTGATGCTTTAGCACTACTGCTGTCTTCGGCAAAAGCATTTGTGGCAGTTGCAGCAGCGCCGGCATATGTGGACGGTTGCGAGTCATCAGTTGACGACTGACTTTTAGACGATGTCGAAGACGTTACAGATGTGCTGGATCGCTTCTGAAGGAGGGGAGAGGCTGTGGCTGAGGCAGATGTCGATGAGTCTGTTGTTCTTGTACTACCCTGTGACACACACACACACACGTACACAACAGTTGTACACAGCATGACAATTGAACAATCACATACAAATAGTCACATGCCGTGGCTGGACAAAGATTACTTGGGACATGAAAGCCTAGTGGGCAAAGCCAAAAACACAAGCAGCTACACCAGAAAACAGAACATAGAGCAACAGTCACAGTAACAGTAACAGCAACAGCAACAGTAACAGTAACAGTAACAGTAACAGTAACAGTCACAGTAACAGCAACAGCAACAGCAACAGTAACAGTCACAGTCACAGTCACAGCAACAGCAACAGTAACAGTAACAGTCACAGTCACAGTCACAGCAACAGCAACAGTAACAGTAACAGTCACAGTCACAGTCACAGTCACAGCAACAGTAACAGTCACAGTCACAGTCACAGTAACAGTCACAGTAACAGCAACAGCAACAGTCACAGTCACAGTCACAGTAACAGCAACAGTAACAGTCACAGTAACAGTAACAGTAACAGTAACAGTCACAGTAACAGTAACAGTCACAGTAACAGTCACAGTAACAGTCACAGTCACAGTCACAGTCACAGTAACAGTAGCTATCATACAGACAAAACACCACGGACGCACCTTTCTTGATAAGCAGCCTGAGGAGAGAGGAGTTTTGTCCATGGTGGGCATAGGTGGGAGAACATCCTCAGCTGGGCCACCGTCGTCTTCTGACGCCAGAGTCAGATCAAACTTGCCTTCTGCCCCCATCCGATAGGAATTGCCCAGCCTGATAGGACGAAGTAAGAAACACAAGGACATGGGTAATACTCAGAGGCCATACGATGCACGGCCCTGAGCGAGCTGAAACGCTGCTCCACACGTCTACTCCATGCAAAGATCACAGGCCAAGCCACACTGGGTGGTCCACTCCCACACCACTAAACATCTACCAGGACAACATGCTCTTGCTCTTGCAACCTCAGAGCAACAGCCGATGGCAAATCAGAAGTAAGGAGCTGAACATGTACATGTGCCGTGGGTTGGACGGACGGAGGTCCTGATGACCTACCATTTCTGAGTACGCCGCTGACTCTGCCAGGACCGGGTGGAGAGCCATCCTGGTCACGCCACTTCCAATCCAGGCCCCGTCGTACCCGCGCTCCCTTCGTGATCAGTGGTACAATCTACACACAATAATGAGAAGTTGAAAACAAACAACAGCCAATCCACAACTCGTGTTACTTGGGCAGACTTAGATGGCAACAAGTGAAACAGGCCTAAAACAGATACAACTTTGCGTATAACGACACTCATCCGGGCATCAAAAAAGTGTCGTTATTCGCGAAGTGTCGTTATAAGTTACCCGAAGTCTCAGTGTCGTTATAAGTTACCCGAAGTCTCATTATATGTATACGGGTAGTATGGACTTGCTCTGGGCATGGAAATTCTGTCGTTATTCGCGAATTGTCGTTATTAGCGAAGTTGACTGTAATTGCACTTTGTTCAAGTGTACACCCATGGTAACAGGGGACTCACTACTCGGAGTGAAGTGAGGGGTACATGGATGCAGGTAACGACCTTTCAGGCACTGGTTGTGAGCTTACCATCTCACCCTCGCCTCAGGGCGCTGCCATGTGTCACCTTGGCACAATCAGGCATGGTGGGGGCCTGGCACGAGCGAAACATCTCTAAGCTGGTTGTGATTCTGAAAACAGCTGTTCAGCGGTAAGGCGGGCGTGCAAACTTTACTTTTTTAGGTGTCAGGTGTACACGAGTGTACGCAAGCGGTGTGCGGAAGAAACAGCTGAGCGCAAGAATAAATCCGGCCTGCTCCGCTCAGCTGCACACACTAGCTCAGTTTGTGTGCTGAAAGGAGGCGCAGGGTATTGTGACATCACGGGTATGCACCACTGCTACTCCTGTGATTTACTCAGACATGCATATACTTTCATTCATGCATATCACATGCACATGCTGGTTATGACACGCGCGCACGTGTGTGTGTGTGCGCGTGTGAGTGTTGGGCAAGGAGATATGCGCACTGGACTTACAAAACGGCGGTAGTAGCGTCGACATTTGCGTACGTATGCCTCAGCTTCTCTTGCAGCTTTACCTGTACGTAACATCGAAAACACTACATTTAGCAAAGCCGACGTGTAATACCACAGAGA